TCGTGGGACATAAGCTCTTGTAGCGAGTTGTAAATATTTTCCAGTTTTAGGGCGATTGTTTTCGTAACATATTTTAAAGCCAAATACTTTATTCGAAACTCGACTGGTGGTTCACGTGCTTCCACATACAATGCTTCTACAGGCGTTGACTTCATAGCCCCAATGCAGTGTCTTAAGGCTTTATTTTGAATGACTATGAGTCTTTTTAAATTTGGTTTTGATGCTGCTCCATATAAATGCAAACCATAATCTATTAGGCTTCTTGTAAGTGCTTTATAAACCTTTAATGCAGTTGGAAAATCCATTCCCCATCCCACTCTAGTCAATAATCTTAAAATATTGAGGGATTTTTCACATTTTTTAGTTAGCATGTGTATATGTTCCGTCCAGTTTAGTTTGTAATCTAATCTGATCCCTAAGTATGTAACACTTTTAACGACCTGAAATAGTGTATTATCTAAAACCACAGGGTTCAAATTATATCGCCTTTTCCGTGAAAAGAATACGATTGCAGATTTTTCAATACACATATCCAAACCATTGCTTAACTTTCCGAATGGCTTTACTTAAACGCTCCTTGACCACAGATACATTCTTATGTGACGTGTAAATAATAAAATCATCAGCGTATTGAATTACACTGATGCTGTCATCCTCTGCACAGTCAAGAAGTCGTGCGTATACAAATTAAACAGCATTAGGGCCTAGCCTAGGGCCTAGGGCCTATAAATTGACCTTTGCCACTTCTTATATAAATCTCTCGATGAGAGTACAAACCGATCAGGTTTTGCGCTAGTTGGTTCGGGAATTCCAATTTAATGAGTTTCTTCTGCAAAATGTCTAATTTCACACATCCGTAAGCGTCCTTGAAATCGATAAAAACCGCTCCTACTGTTTCTTTTTTGGAATAACTTATTTGTATGTCGGAAACTAGTTTTGTTAAAGCATCAGCGGTGCCTAAACCTCGCTTGAATCCAAATTGAAATGACTGTAGCTTTTTCTTCCTTTCCAACCACCATTCAATCCTATTCTTGACCATTCGCTCTAATGTTTTAAATATACACGACAAAAGTGATATAGGCCTATATGATTTTGCATCGTTTGGGTTTTTATTGGGCTTAATTATTGGGACAACAATGATTTTTTTAAAGGTGGGCACGCTATCTCCAAACAGGTACAGTCTATTAAATGCAGTTACCAATAATTCCTTCGCCACGGTGGGCAGCCACTTTAATAGCGGATAAGTAATATTATCAAAACCTTGTGCTGTATTCTTAGCTGATTTGATTGCCTTGATGAGTTCTTCAATTGAAAATGGTTGTTGTAAAAAAGGATCGTTTACGTTTGACGTTTCCTGGTTTTTTTCTGATTGCACGTACGCCGGGGCTAAATTGTCAGCGAACTCTACAATATATGACTCCGAGACGTGGTGAGAGGTAGGACATCTTTTAAATTTTCTCACGATATTCCATAATTTCTTTGAGGACGTAGATGTGTTTAAGTTATTACATAGATTTTGGAAACTGTCGCGTTTTTTGTATTTCAAAAATCTTTTAGAGTGCGCAATAGTCTCTTGACAAGTAATGAAATTATCCAAGTTTGGATTTAACTTGTAATTCTTTACCGCAAGTTTCCGGCAGTGTACCACATGAGAACATTGATTGTCCCACCATGGGGGTGGAGGTCTGGATTTCTTTAACACAGGTTTTCTTAATACGAAATTACTGTCGCATCCCTTTTGCACTGAATCCACAACACAGTCAATTATTTCTGCTGCGGACTTGGGTACCTCTTTAGCGTTTAGACTTCGATCCACGTAATTACAAAATTCTAGACTTTTCTTATCATCTATTTTCCACCGAGTTGTAGGGTAATAGGTGAACTGGAGTTGTAAATTGAAATTTAAGTTCATGCGAATGGGAAAGTGGTCTGACCCATATGTATCATCCATTACCTTCCAAGTGATATGAGTAGCAATCCCTGGCGATGCAAATGTAATATCAATTGCAGATCTCGCTTCGTTTGGGCGCCCGAGGCGCGTAACTGATCCGTCATTCAAAAACACGCTATTAGTCCCATCTATTACTTTTAATAGAATATTTCCCGCGTTATCGTTTTTAGATGAACCAAAGGCCCTATTGTGTGCGTTCATATCACCACCCACCATGTACCTCTTCCCTAATTGCCCTAACATGTGCAAATACTCGCCTTCTGTTATGTTACTCGCGTAACCCTGCGGCCTATATAAACACATTACATTCAGATCAAGATCTAGCAACTTGACCCCACACACACTAATTTCAGCATTATCAGATTTAATATTCAACGGAGTGTATTGAAGATTTCTATGTACAAGTATAGCGGCGCCACGGGCCACCGTAACCATCCGTACGATCGTGTCTTACTAATGTGTAATTTTTAAAAAAATCTATGTGGTTACTTTTGTACCAGGTTTCCGTTAAAAGGGCTATATGGATGTTACACTCTGCTAACATATATTCTAAATTCGGTTTATTGGCAGCAACAGATCTTATATTCCATTGCAAAAGGTTTAAATTGTTATAATTATTGTTATTATGCATTATGTAAAATGTAATATGTAAAATAAAATTAAAATAGTAAAGACAAATAAGCAAAATAAAACGTTTACGCAGTTTCAGAGGATGATGGATCGCACAGCGATTCTAGCTCTTGGTCCGATAAGAAGGAATCTTGTGAAGCGATTGAACTGTTTTCTGAGTAATCCGTGGGCGTATTGAAGCTTGGAAGGAGCTTAATGAATCCAGTAATCAGGCGTTTTAAGCGTGCTTTGAGTCGATTGGTTTTGACCGCTTTTCGACACTCAATCATTAACTCAACAAATTGTTGCTTATCCTCACAGAATTCACTAGCTATTGGAAAGGGATTGCTTTGACCTTTTGCACGCATAAGAAAATTGCAAAAACTATCATAATCTATAACCGTTTGTTTCGATTGAAAAACATTTTTAAATTCCGTAAACAACGTGGAATCCTTTTCTATCGATAGGGACTCCTTTGAATCGGAACGCTTTGCTTTTTTCGCGGGTTTTTTAAATGTGCCACCTGACGCTGTAGTCTCCGCAGAGGATGACGCAAGTGCCCGTTTAGGTCTCAACTCATCGGATGTCCTATTGAACTCTACCGAGTCCATCTGTACCATTGATTCACTACCTTGCAATTCCTCGGATGTCCTAATTGGCTCTTCCGAGTCCATCTCTACTAATGATTGGCGACTTTGTCGAACTGGAGTGACTAACTGTTCCATGGTATTGTCATTTGACTCTTTATTATTCGAGCTGCAGTTTGAAGGGCACTTAGACGCTTTATGACCTTTAGATTTACAAACAAAGCAAACTAGATCGTCATTCGACAAAAAAATTCTGAAAACCGTTTTATCATAAGCTAGCAACGTCGTAGGGGGTATTGACGAACCTACTTCTAAATCAATATACACTTGCCTACGGAAGCTTTGGACATGTTTGTAATTAGGATCGGGAGAGCCTACACTCACTAAAGTAATTGGAGAGACCGGCTTTAACTCTAATCGTTTAAGTTCCTCATACAAAATGTCATTTGGAATTACTGGAGAAACGTTAGAAAGAATGATTTTAGTTGCTGGAGATACCAGCTTACGTGCTGCTATAAAGCTATCTTTAACTTGTATACCTTTATTTTCTCTTATAAAGCTATCTACCATTGATTTTGACGCAAGGAAGATGCATATGCGCCCACCCGAGATGCGAGATGCAAACGTAACATTTTTTGGACCTATTATGGTACCTACTCCAACAATGTAATCAAATAGCGATACTCCTTCAATGGCAGGAAAGATGATACCTTGGGATCTCTCGGGAAAATTATATTTCGGCTCCGATTGTATACCTGCTACAGATGCAAAGGTACGGTTGTCCATATTCTGTGAGTTGTTAATATTCTCAGTTACCATTACTTGATTGTTTACGACCTCCATGACAGAGGAACCCAAACAGGTAGGACACGCTTAGATATCAGGCCCTCGTGGCCGTATTAAATTAACACTGCGATGCAATGTAAGTGTCCCCACCGCTAAGCGGTGTGGACAAACGTGCGTAAGCCGAGCAATAGATATAGATAGGCGAAATTGTCAATGGCGATAAATTTTAATACAAATATCTAAATTGACTTAAGTTAGTTGGCACTTATCTTATTTTGTCACGTATCCGTAGGTTACAACCTCGTGACATCGAAAGGTGTAAAGGCTTACTGCTGATAACACACCAAAATACACTTCAAACTTTAGAACTTATACCTCGTAAAGTCTGACGCGAACTGTCCACTGAAGTTATACTCACCTACATTACTAATTGTCGTTGAACATGTATGTAGTAAGTGTAGTAACTGATGACGTCCCAGTTTATTTCGTCAGTTACTAAAAATGCTCGTATGCTAGACTCGCGGAAATGTTACGTACTCGATGGTCCAAAATAACGACACTAACCTTAAAACTGGTTAAAATTACTTCGTTTCCAAAAATGGATCATTTTCCAAACGAAATTGAGGTGTAAACCAACTGTCGGCATCTAATACAACAACCAAATCTAACAATGACAATTTTTAGTGCACTTTCACATTCAAAAAATAAGTTAAGGCATGAAATGTCCAAAAAAAAAATGTCAAAACGAAAATTCAAATATGAAAGTGCACTCTTCGCTTCTTGCTCACAAGCGGCTTAACGAATTTTTTGCAGTTCTGCCTGCAATATATCGGGTAACAAACACTTTATTCTTGTATTTAGGTACAAGTAAAATTTTCTTAAACATTTTCCGTAACTAAATTAAAGTACCAGAAAACAGCAGCATTGTAAATTTTAATTTCACTCAAAGCTTTTTCAATTGACGTTCCTCTAATATAATTAAATCTTGTTTGAGCAACGAAGTAAAGTTACATCGACACAATTACTTGACGATTATTATAGCAGACGATATAAAACGACATCCCAGCAAACACTGTCTATTGCCGTAATGTAACTCTAGAGTGACATGTTATATAAGATTTTACATGTAACATAAACATTGTTGCAACAAAACCAGTACAATGAACAACTATGAATATTATACTACATAACTGTTACATTTCATTTACTACACCGTAACGTAACTTTTAAAAATAATTTGTATAGCAAATATGTAACACACTTACGTTGTGGTTATATGTTAAATAAGTAAGTTCAATTTATATTAAAAATAAATATACCGTCAACGTAAGTTAGTTACGATATTACTGTATAACCAGCAGTTCATAGATGCAATATAACATAAATGTAGCTACGTTACTACGTTCATAATTCTGTTTTTCCCACCCGGGCAACAGAACAAAAAAGTTTTAGGTTAGCTTGTGTTTTAACCTGGTTTTAACTCGTGTCTCGTGTTATTTTTATTATTTTGTTTGTTTTGTGTTCATTTATATTTCGATTATTATCAGGTATGTATATTACCATATTAATAGTTAAACATTTATGCTAATATGTTAATTTTACTTTCGGTACCTTATATCGAATAATCTATACCTATAATGCTCAGTAATGCAGTGATTCATATTATTCCAAATGAGTAAATTAAATACAAGAATGGATGTATAGCTTTTGTGCAGAGGGATAAAATTCAAGTATGATAAGCTGATGTGGTCCTCAATTTTGTCTCGACTTTGTCTCATTTTCACTTGTGCAAGTGTGTACGTTCTTTTGATGCATGCAATGTCATGTGCAATTAGTTTGTGGTTCATTTGAAAGCTTTCAGGACTAGAAGTGCTTATAGACTGGAAGCCAAATTGAGGTATCGATAATGGCTATCAGCCTCCAAAGTCTAGAAATGAGGCAAATCGTACACACATAACCTTCCGACTCCTGGTCTATAATGACTATTCGAGCAATGACACAACGAAGTGTAGTACATCTCATACAACATAGTGTTTGGTCATGTTCTATAGAATAGGCAACGATAATGGTATTATATTATCTTTGGAATAGGTTATTTTACAGACTGTGGTGTTTGGTAGTTTAAAAGTGTTCTCCCCAAACGCACATTTAAGCCATTTTCTGCAATTTACTTTGAAATTACTCATCATCTGGTATAAGTATAACTTTATGAGCTAGATAAAGTACTATTGTTTGTCACATACTTGTTTTTCATTAGACATTACTATTTGGGTTAACTTACAGAACTGGAGCGGGAACAGTATCCACAACCACAACCATTATGCCCAATAAAGAATTTCATTTGACGAGTAAGAGGCGTCAAAACCAACTGATACGGCAAGAACTGGTTCGTACTACAGAACCTGAACGTGATGGAGATAAAGTATTACTTCCTTCTAGTGGGGTATGTCCCAGTCACATGCAAACAGAAATATGTAGTATCTCACCTAACGACAATATCCTCGACAATATATCTGTAAATAATTTAGATATTTCATTGAATGACAATATCGTTGAGCAAGATTTATATGACAGAATGAATGATGAACATTCTATAACAAATGAAAATTCTCTTTCTGAAAGTACATACAATTTGGAACATAACTGTGATAATGTTAACATGGCATTGTTAGGTGATGAGCAACGAGATGAGCGATTAAAAAAAGAATTAATTGATTGGGTTATTGCATGTAACATTACACACAACAGTGTGAATAAGTTGCTACAAATACTTCGCAATTATGGACATAATTTGCCATCTGATGTTAGAACATTGTTAAAAACTCCCAAAGATACAACTAATTGTGTGTCAAATTTATCAGGGGGTCAGTATGCACATCTACAATTTTCTTCGGGAGTTCGTCATTCCGTAAAGAAATATTTTTGTGACATTCCATCCACGCTTAGTGTAAATATAAACATTGATGGTTTACCGTTATCTAAAAGCTCAACTCAGCAGTTTTGGCCAATATTAGGATCCTTGGTAACCAACTTTAACACAGAACCGTTTTTGATTGGAGTCTTTTGTGGAAAAAAAAAAACCTGTAGACGTTAATGACTTTCTTCAACATTTTGTTGAGGAGTATCTAACAATAATAAAAAATGGTCTATTTATAGATGGAGTGAAGGTTAACATTATGTTGAATGCTATAATATGTGATGCTCCTGCTAAAGCATATATTTGTGGAATTAAAAGTCACACTGGTTACTTTGGATGCAGCAAATGTATTCAAGAGGGGGACTTTGTTCAAAATAGAGTCGTTTTTCCCGAATTAAATAGTCCACTGAGAACAGATTTGTCTTTTGCAAACAAAGCGCAACCTGAACACCATGTTAAAGAATCGTGCATTGAAAAATTAAACATTGGAATGGTTTCTCACGTCCCTCTTGACTACATGCACCTTGTATGTTTAGGTGTAATGAAGCGACTGCTACAATTTTGGGTTAAAGGAAAAATAAACATACGGTTAAAAGACATAGATCAAATGTCAGAAATTTTTGTTAATATGAAATGTTCAATAACAAAGGAATTTGCCCGATTACCCAGGAGCCTTTTAGAAGTAGATCATTGGAAAGCAACAGAGTTCCGACAGTTTTTGTTGTACACTGGTCCAGTACTTCTACGCCAAAAATTACCTCCTATATATTACGAGCATTTTCTTGCACTATGTGTTGCTATAAGAATCCTGATTGATTCTGAATTGTGTGTTACTTTAATTAGATATGCCCAATCTTTGTTAATGTGGTTTGTGAAGTCTTATGGTGATTTGTATGGAACTGAATATTTATCATATAATGTGCACAACCTTATCCATTTATCCAACGACGTTGAAAAATTTGGTCCACTTGACAATTTTAGTGCTTTTAAGTACGAAAATTACATGCAAAAAATTAAGAGCAAACTTAAGAACTCCGGAAACTACTTGCAACAACTTGTTAACAGAATATTTGAAGAGAGGAATTTAGATACCAAGTACGAAGTTCCCAAGAAATATCCTATGGTGCACTACTCTAACAAAAATAAAGAAATCATACAGTGTGTTACATTTTGTGGTTTTTCCATTTCGAATTTAAAATATGATAATTGCGTTATGTTAACTGATGGAGTGTTTGGCTTGGTATGTGATTTTTCTATATGTGACAACAACTGTGTAGCTCATATAAAAAAATTTAATAAGGTTGAACCTTTTTTTAGTGTACCGTGCGATTCGAGAACAATTGGAATTGGTGTTGTAAATAAAACAAAATATGAAAAACTCACAATTCCAATTGAAAAAATTAAAAGAAAGTGTATAATGATTGATTATTTAAACTGTGAATATGTTTTATTGCCCTTACTTCATTCTGAAACTTAAATATGTCGAAAAAATTATTTATTACATTTTATATTTAGGTATCTATATTTATGTATTAGCAATAATATTATTATGACTTTATTACCTAAGCATTCATATTTGTACATTACAATAAAAAAAAATTAGAATGAGTTTTGTAAATGAACAAAATCTAAAAAACACATTTCCATTTGAAAAAAATTAAAAGAAACTGTATAATGATGATTGTTCAAACTGTGAATATGTTTTGCTGCCGTTACTACTGTATTGTGAAACTTCAATACGTTGAAAAAATGTTTTGTTAAATTTTATACTTGATATTAGCATTAATGTTATTACCTAGCACGTACCTGAAGCTTAAGAGAGTTAGTAGAAGTGTGTTTGTTAGTAAACATTAATGTGCTATTTACAGAATGTCTTATGCTGTTGTCTCATTTATCCGAGAACACAGTGAAGATGAGGATGAGGAAGATTCCACCTCGGAGGTTCCGATGTCATGGCTGAGTGAAAGTAATACAAAATGTTGGTGGCCAGTGCATAGCAAAAATGTGACTTCTTTAATTAAGAGGATGGTACCACCAAATCCTGACAAGTGGGTTCTTGAAAATGTTAAAGTGGAAGCGTTGGAAGGTAAATTGATATTATATTTCAATATACTATATATTAGAATTTGCAGTGTCTTTAGAAAGAGCTAGAAAACTAAGTACAGATTGCAATTATGTGTCTACCGACGAGGGAGAGAAAGGACGCGGAAAACGAAAAGTAATTCAACCAACAAGGTTCGTAGTTTCAGACGAAGATGAATTAGCAGTTCCAGTTTCTTCTAAAAGTAAATTGTACCCGTTTGTTTTGAGTTAAGTACATTGTGTTTTTACAGACTGGAGAAAATTTACAAATGTTTCCTTACCTCCACAACTCCCCATCGGTGTTTCCACTTATAATTTTTCTTCGCCAAGGTAAAAACACTTCGTTTTGGTTCATTGTATTTGATTACATTAGTGTTTTATTTTAGTCCTTTGACAGCACAAAATGCAATAACTACAGAGGAAGATATTCAGACAATGCCGGTTATTTTTTCTGATATTTCAACAAATCTTGGTAAGGATTTTAGATCCAACAATTGAGTTCGCAAATACCTACTGTTATTTGTTGTATTACTTATGACAGTACTTGTTATTTATTGTACTTTAAACACGCTTGTTAAAAATAACTAGAGGAAAATGGTACTGTTTAAAAATGGAAACTTTCATATGCTCAAAGAGATCTAAATAAAACCGCCAAATGACATACCTAGTCTTTATCTGAAGACGCAAAATTTGTTAATTATTCAATTTGTCTCAAGCTAAGGAGTGGGCCACTGCTGTAGATTCTTACAACCTTTGAATAGGTAATTAACGTGCTTCCATTTTGGAACAAGATCATTTGCGTACTCTACAAGCGAAAGTTTGTTTTTTATTTAATCCAAACTCTCTGACTTTTAACATTTCGCTACTTTTGATTAACTAACTTATATATTTATTTCGCTACTTTTGATTAACTAACTTATATATTTATTTTTTAGAATTAGAAGATTATAGACATGTTGACGCAGAAGGTAATATTTTGTCAATGATATTTTATCTAATGTATTGCATTCTAGTTGTAGTCATACCAAATAGAGTGGTACAAAACCAATCAGCAGATTTTCGTACTCCGGCCTCGCACGAAACAAACAAACATATTGATGGTTTAAGTAAGTTTTACCTAATCACATATCAATGAGTGTTTTACTTTGCTTTTGTTTCCAGGTGAATCTAATATAACAGAAGACACAATTAGTAGCCGCATGATTCAGGGTAAATGTTATAATCAAACATTTGCAATTTTATTCCAATTTTTAATTTTTTAGAACATTTTCAAAAAATATCCAGGATGTTT